TTTTGTTCAGTATGTTTATTAATGACCTGGATGAGGGGATGGATTGCACCCTCAGCAAGTTTGTGGATGACACTAAGCTGGGGGAGAGATAGATACACTTGAGGGCAGAGATAGAGTCCAGAGTGACTTAGACAAATTGGAGGATTGGGCCACAAGAAATCTGATGAGGTTCAACAAGGACAAGTGCAGAGTCCTGTACTTGGGACGGAAGAATCCCAAGCGCTGCTACAGGCTGGGGACCAACCAGCTAAGTAGTAGTTCTGCAGAAAAGGTCCTGGGGGTTACAGTGGATGAGAAGCTGGATATGAGTCAACTGTGTGGCCTTGTAGCCAAGATGGCTAATGGCATATTAGGTTGCATTAAGAGGAACATTACCAGCAGATGCAGAGATGTCATTATTCCCCTTTATTCGGCTCTGGTGAGGCTGCATCTGGAGTATTGTGTCCAGTTCTGGGCCCCCCACTATAAAAAGGATTGGATGCATTGGGGAGGGTCCAGCATTGGGCAACCAAAATGATTGGGGGGCTGGAGCATATGACCTATGAGGAGAGGCTGAGGGAGTTGGGTCTGTTTAGTCTGCAGAAGCGAAGAGTGAAGGGGGATTTGATAGCAGCCTTCAACTTCCTGAAGGGAGGTGCCAAAGAGGATGGAGAAAGACTGTTCTCAGTAGTGACAGATGGCAGAACAAGGAGCAATGGTCTCAAGTTGTGGTTGGAAAGGTCCAGGTTGGATATTAGGAAAAACTATTTCACTAGGAGGGTAGTGAAGTACTGGAATGGGTTATCTAGGGAAGTAGTGGAGTCTCCATCCCTAGAGGTGTTTAAGTCTCGGCTTGACAAACCCTGGCCAGGTTGATTTAGTTGGGATTGGTCCTGCCTAGAGCAGGGGGCTGGACTTGATGACCTTCTGAGGTCTCTTCCAGCTCTATGGTTCTATGATTCTATGAAATGGTTACAGATCCTAAACTGCCTTTCTATTGGGTGTTTCTCATTCACACTTCACACACGTTCCATAATAGACCTATGCATATTCATAAGCAATATGGTTTCTAGGCAAAGTTGGGCCTCATGGCTTTGAGTAACAAGAACAAGTAGAAAGAGCTTAACATAAATTGTAACTAAGAGAGCCAGAGTCAGGGAAAAGGGAAAAGCAGAGGAGTATGTCCCATCAGCTAGACACCAGTGTAGAGGAGGGACGGAGGGAGGTTGTGTCCGTCTGGTTACAGACTTGTGCAACATGTCTTGAAGAACAACAATGAAAAAAGGGAAGTGACCAGTGTGTCTCCCTACAACACAAACAATGAAATAACAAGGAGGAGATGTGCAGAGAGTTGGGAAGTTGGTTTAGAATGAATAGAGATATGAGACAAGGAGATCCGGTATCGCCGAGTATCTTCACACACCTAGAGAGAGTGATGGACAAGATCAAGGACGAGGTGGAAGGGTATCGGTGCACGGGATGAGAATCAACAACTTGAGGTTTGCAGATGATATAGTTATCATCAAGGAAGATGAAGAGAAGCTAGCAAGAATGGTGCAGGTACTAAATGAGGAAGGAAAGTGGTATGGAGTGATTATGAATATTGATAAAACGAAGACAATGGTATTTGGAGATAAGGAAATAGGAAGAAAGATCAGTGTAGATGGGATTGAACTAGAGAACATAGAGAAGTTCACTTATTTGGGGAGCAACGTGACGTATGATATAGACTAAGAAGGAAATAGCGACTAGAATAGTGAAAGCAAGAGTGAGTTTGAAGGCGATGGATAAGATCTGGAAAAGTAAAGCGATTAGCTTAGGAACGAAGCTGAGCATCTTGAAAACGTGTATTTAGCAGCATGTTGTACAGATGAGAGACATGGGTGATAACGAAAGATTCGAAGAGAAGGATATTGGCGTTCAAGAGGAGTTGTTATAGAAAGATCTTGAGACTAGGATGAATGCAGAAGGTCACCAACGAGGAATTATATAGGAAGATACAGCCAAAAGAGAACCTACAGCAGAAGGTTATACAATGGAAGGTACAGCTATTCGGGCATATCTTCAGAATGAACAAAGAGCGAAAAGTTAAGACCCTGGTATTCGGCAAAATGGATGGTGCAAATAGGAGAGGCAGACCCCACAGAGAATGGGGAGATGATCTAGTATATTGGTGTGGAGCTAGTCTACAGAAACTAAGGCACTCCGCACTGGACAGGGAAAGATGAAGGAAATAGTGAGGGAGGCATTGGACACCAACGGGCATTGAGCCCATGGTTGTTGTTGATGATGATGATTATGAGAGCACTCAGGAAAATGTTAGCTGCTGGTGAAAGAGAGATGCTTTTTATGTAGTAGGAAGAAATATATTTTTATCTCTAGCTGAAAGCTGTGGGCAGCAGGCAGCATCTTTGCCTAGCAGTTGGAGCCTACGCTTGCATTTACACCCAGTAGTTCACCTCTGGTGGCAGTCTTGCCTAGTGGCAGCTCCACCTAATGAGTACAGTTCTCAGTGGCAGCCTGCCAGGGGTCCAGTTCATGGGTAGCAGCTCTGCCTAACAAATGCACTTCTTGCTGGGCCAGTGAAACCAACTCCCTCCCACTCCACTGGGTTCTAGTTCAGAGTAAGGATGTTAAATCTCGGTTAATTTACTAATTGAGTAGTCGATGGAATTTCCATCAACTACTCGACTAGTTGATAGGCACTTCTGCATTCCTCTTTGAAATGTACAAGAGTCCCCGCAGGGCCTACTGTACATTTCAAAGGAGGAATGCAGAACTCCACGTACAGCCTGGGGCTAGCAGGAAGTCCCGCTGACTCTCGGTTGCACGCGGATGCCAGCTTTGAAATGTACAAGAGTCCCCAGCGGGGCCCTTGTGCATTTCAAAGCAGAAGCACCTTCATGGAGTCTAGGGTCAATGGGGGACTCAGAGTCCCCCACTAACCCCAGGCTCCATGCTGCGCTGCCGCTTAAAATGCCACACGGCGCCTAGAATCAGCTGGGAACAGCTGATCCCAGGCTCTGCGCGGCATTTCCTCGGAACCTGGGATCAGCTGACTCGGGGCTCCACGCGGCACTGTTGTTCAAAGGGGCAGCACCGCACAGCTGATCCCAGGCTCAGCTGTGCGACACTGCCCCTTTGAAATGCTGCCACGGTGTTTCAATGCGGTAGTATCGCACGGAGCCCCCATATGGGCTCCATGCGGCGCTGCTGCTTTGAAAAATCCCCTCTTCTTCTTCAAGTAGTGTCCTCTGTGGGTGCCCCACTCTGGGTGGAATGGAGCACCCACGGGGACAGACATCTTGAAGATGCGGTAGTATCGCACGGAGCCCCCATATGGGCTCCATGCGGCGCTGCTGCTTTGAAAAATCCCCTCTTCTTCTTCAAGTAGTGTCCTCTGTGGGTGCCCCACTCTGGGTGGAATGGAGCACCCACGGGGACAGACATCTTGAAGAACCACCATTACTGCACAAGGTAACTCTTTCTTCTCCCCCCTTTACTCTCTCTATCTGATAGAGGCAGCAAGAGGGGCGGAATCGACTAGTCAGGTCGACTATCTGATAAGCATTTGCTTGTCGGATAGTTGACTAGTCCTTAACATCCTTAGTCCAGAACCGTGGAAGGCTGGTTCAGCTTAGCTCACCCCACAGTGTCTTGTTTCAGCCTGAGGTCAACTTCCCTTGGTCACTTCCTTCCTTCCTCTGCATCCCAGCCAGCCACCAGCCATCTCTGGGAAGCACTTTCTTCTGGGCTTCCTTCCCCAGTCCCCGGCTCTGGTGCAGCAGCTCCAGAGTATTCCCAGTGACTACAATCATATGCAGGTATTCCAAGCATGAATGCAACCAGTTACTCCTTCTGCGGATAATGTTTCTGTTCAGGAGGCTTCCTGGAAGAGAAAGGGATTCACGAAGGCTGAGGTGTCCAATGTACTTATTTACTTCCATAGACTGAAAATGCATTTACTCCGGTGCTGTCCATTGTATTATAGCAGACACGTCATTGATTTTCAGAGCGAGCAAGCCTTCATGCTCGTCTAGACACATCTCACTTGCTTTTCTAATAGAGTATCATCTGCACTAGTATCCACACTCAAATAGCACTTCCACTTCGGACATGCCTGAGGGTCAAAATAAAGATTTGTCAGTAGACATAGGCGAAGAGGCCCTTTCTGACCCCTCTTCACTTTGCTAAAGGTCTCCCTTCATGGACTGCAGTAGCTTTTCCAACATGGAAGAGGCAGTTTACTCTCAGGAGGAAAGAGGACTGTGTGGGGTGATTTGCATTCATATTAAATTAAAATGTAAGAGACAGTTGATTTTACTTTGCTCAGCACAGTGGCTGAAAAGTTTGGAGGAGGAGAGGGAGGCTTTTGCAGTTTCAGTATTAAACATTAACATTCCTGTTTTCAGACGCATATTGAAGCCTATGAAAACTGGCTTATAACACGTGATGTTGGACCCTTATGGCGATGTTTACTTGCCAACAAAACATTAGTTAGTAGGAAACTTGGCATTGGCTATTTAAGTTAAAGAATTTGCAGCAGTGCATCTCCCCATGC